ATTTGATGGGTATACTCTGGGCTAAAATCTTTCTAAAGACTGTCGTTTATACGTTTCCCTTATATTTTGTCATTTGACTTGAAAATTACCAATTTCTTTAGTTTGAAATATGATTTTATAAGACTGTGTAAAAGAATTTAAAGTTTAATAAAAAAGAATGTAAAAAAATATTTTGTCAATAAATATAACCATTGAGAAAAAAAAAAAAAAACAAAACTCTCCCCACTAGTTTTTTTCCGATTGTTTTACTGGCGGGGTTAAATTGAACGAATAACTAACCTGTGGGCTCGTAGACACCGATTTATACTACTGTTCAATGTTACCCCGAACCCGGGGTAAAATTGAACAGCAACTTTTTTATAGCTATTTTTACATAGCTACGCCCAAGAGATAATCTAACGTATGTAAAGTCATGCTTCTATAGTGACCCATAAGTGGTATTTTTTTTTATTCGATTGAGCAACAGATACAAAACTTATTCAACAAAATATGAAGAAAATGTTCAATATAACCCCTTTTTACGGTATTACCCTGTCTAATTCCACGTTCTATTCGAAACTTCTTGGTATTTTCATGAAGACGGACACAAGCTGTAGCAGTTTCGTAAATATTTTTAATCAAAGCGATATATCGGTAGTCAATGCGGTAGTCAAATGCCCGAAGCATTTTATGATGATCTTTAGTATGGAACGCCTTTTCATAATCTACGAATATAAGAAAGATAGGCTTGTTATATTCTGTACACTTTTCTATTAGCGTTTGTATAACTTGTAGATGATCATTTGTTCCGTATCTGGAGCGGAACCCAGCCTGTTCACAAGGTTGGTAACTATCCAGTTTGTTCACAAGCCGTTTTGTTATTATCTTTATGAATAGTTTGTATGTATAGGTTTGTGATATTTCTTCCAAAATAACGTAATCTTTCATCTTCTTTCCAGTGTCTCCGAAATCTTTTTTTTTTTAATTATCGACATCCCTTAATTTTAACGGATTCAGAGCCACTGGATTACTGTTGGTTTAATATTAGCAGGTGTTACTCTTCTAGTCTCTAGAGTTACTTCTTGCACTAAAATATTTCCCCGTTGAGATTTAGTAAATATAAAATGTTTTACTGGATTAAATTGATAATGCCATGCACTAGGACGTTTTGTACAAGTTTCCGTGACTTTTTCCAGTCATACACAGGCACATTTTTTTAACATTAATTCCTAACAGATTGTTTAAAAACACTGATATATTCTATCTATATACAAATCACATCATTGTTTTATTGACCATACAACACAATGACAATCGCTGTGACATGTTACACGTTTCCACCTCTATATTCATTTCACAGTAGGTACGAATTGTCGTAATTGTCACATCGACATTAAACATTTCAAACGAAGTTCTGAAAGAATAAACAAATAATTAATAAAATGCCTATTATGTTGTGTCCCGTCCAAGAAAAAGTTTAACTTGTAACATGGTACTTTCAAGGTCATTCGATACGCGAAGTAATTGATTTATTTATTGTTACCCTCGAAAATAGCTCCCCACCAAGTATTACAATCAGTTAAAAATACCATAAAACATTTTCAAACTTCGGGATGTGTAACCAGCTGTAAAAAATGTCACGATGGTAATGAACCTCTTGATAGACCTGTCGATAAGGAGCGTCAAAACAGGGATATTGATATTTGTGCTTTTGTGGAAGCTAGTGAACCCTGCAATAGTGTACAAATTGCTAGGGAAGTTAACGTGAATGCTTGAACTGTCCAGCGAGTTCTCAAAAGGAATGGGTATCACTGTTTTAAGATACAACTAACACAAGAACAGATAAACAGAATGAAAATGTACACTTTTTAAAAATATTTTATTTTCTGACGAATCTTTATTTTCATTACATAAAAAACAAAATCAATCTGTTGCAAAATATTATTCTCGGAAAAATAAGCACCTCAGTATTGCAGTGCGAACGCAGCATCCACAAAAGTTAAATGTTTGGACTGGGATGTTAGGCGACCATATTGTCGGTCTATTTTTATAGATGGAAATCTAAACGAGCCCAAATATTTACAACTTTTACAGAATGAGACCAATCCGGCAGTTCGACGCCTTCCTGTTAACATTCAGGAGGTTTATTTTCAACAGGATGGATGTTCGGTGTAACCAAAACATTAGTTTTAGAGCATTATAATAAATATACTCCAGAGATGGGATTGCAATAAATCTAGATTCTTATGATTAACAAAACAATCGCGAAATGTATGAAAGCACTGACGAAAGACAAGATCATCCCCTGCCCAAAATCACAAACCAGGGATCAGTCACTAACCTAAATAGGCTAGTCAAACTAAACATTAATATGAACAAGACACAAATAAAGACTAATCTGGTGCTAAATCGAAATATTGCTGTTGATGGAAGAGATACTTAAAGTACTTAGGACATAAAATTCAGTTATTCTTCTTCTTCCTTTGCCCTATCCGTTTCGGACGTTGGCTATTAACAAGGCTATTTTGACTTTGTTTACGGCACCTCTGAACAGTTCGGTCGATGTTAGTCCGAACCATTGTCGCAGGTTATGCATCCATGAGTGTCGTCTTCTTCCCGGTCCCCTCCTACTGTCGATTCTTCCTTGGACTATTAACTGTAGCAGCCGGTACTTAGTATGCCTCATGACATGTCCGAAGTACTGAAGCTTCCGTTTCTTTACGGTGAAGATTATTTCTTTGCTTTTGCCTATTCTCTGCATTACTTCCACGTTAGTGATGTGGTCTGTCCAGGATATCCGAAGAATACGGCGATATATCCACAGCTCAAAGAATTCTAGTTTCTTCAGGGTGGCTTCCGTTGTGGTCCATGCCTCTGCTCCATAGAACAAGACCGGGAAGACATAACACTTGACCAGTCTTAATTTTAGTTCCATTGAGATTTTGCTTGTGAACCACTTTTTCATATTGTTGAACGCGTTTCGCGCTTTTTCAATTCGTGATCTTATTTCTGTTGACTGGTCCCATTTTGTGTTGACTGTGGTTCCAAGATATGTGTATGTCTCCACTTATTCTATTTTTCGGTTGTTTAATGCCAATTGCATCGGAGGTTGTTGTGTTCTCCTGATGAGCATGCATTTAGTTTTGGTTGTATTGAGTTCTAAACCATATTCTTGACTTGCTGTGTGTATGCTTTGCATGAGTCTTTGAAGCTCGTTGCAGTCATTTGTGATAATAACTGTGTCGTCAGCATATCTAATATTATTGATTACCTCTCCGTTTACTTTGATACCCTCCGAAACTTCTCCCAGTGCTTCTCTGAAGATTTGTTCAGAGTATATATTGAACAGGAGCGGCGAGAGGACGCATCCCTGTCGTACACTCTTTTTAATATCTATCTTCCCACTGTGTAAGTTGCCCATCTTTATCTCAGCACTTTGGTTCCAATAGAGACTGGTTATTATGCGCAGATCTTTGCCATCAATATGCATCTTCCTGAGCATTTCCATGAGTTTATCATGTTTGACCTTGTCAAACGCCTTGGAGAAGTCGACGAAGCACAAGTGGACGTCCTTGTGCATGTCTCTGCATCTTTGAATTAAAACTTACAGACTGAAGATCGCCTCTCTTGTGCCCAATGCGCTTCGGAATCCGAACTGTGACTCCGATATATTTGCTTCGCATTTGTTATATATTCTATTTTGTATGATTTTGGTGAAAACTTTGGTAATGTGATTTATCAAGCTCATTAAGCGGTGTTGATCACAGTGTCTTGCACTTGGTGTTTTAGGTATCGCTACAAAGGTCGATCGAAGCCATTCCTCCGGAATCTCCCCTTTGTCGTAAAAGGTGTTAAAAAAGCCAGTCAGAAAATCGAGGAAGTGGTCATCCGTTCCGCATAGGAGTTTTATGATCTCGCCCTGTATGTCGTCGGAACCTGGTGTTTTGTCGTTTTTTAGCGATGAAATGGCTTTTTCCACTTCAGACCTTAGTATTTCGGGTCCAGTCATGTCGTCATCTTGGTCCACTGTCGCTCTGCGTTTATCGTTAAAAAATCGTTCTACGTAATCTTTGCATGTGTCAATGATCTTCAAGTCGTCTGATATAAGGTCAGCGTCTGCGTCTATTAGTGTCGGGTGGAAATTATTGGTTTTCTTTTTAGTTGTTAATTCTTTGATCTTTTTGTGCATGTTGTGGTAGTCATATCTTCTGTCGCACTCTTCGATTTCATCGCATTTCTTCTTCAGCCAGCGTTCCTTCGCTTCCTTTATCTTTGTTTTTATATTGTGACTTGTTTCTTGATACTTCACTTAATTTTCGCATTTTTGTTGTTTCTTTCTTCCATCATATCAAGGATTTTATCCGTCATCCATTCTTTCTTCTTTACGCGCTCCTGTAACAGAAGTGTCTTGTTTGTCATTTCAACAGCTCTTTTTATTTCTTCCCATTTAGCAACTGCGTCTTGTGCGGGTTCACTCAAGTTTCCAATGTTTCTTCTTAAGGATTCCTGTACTTGTTGTTTAATGTTGGGATCCTTTAATTTCCTAATGTTTATCTTGGTTTTGTTAGGCTTTCCTTCTATACGTTTTAATTTGATTCCCAGTTTACCCACCACTGTTGCGACATGAGCGACATATGGGAGAGACCAAATCCCAAACGAAGAAATGCATCGTAGAACAAAAATAATAGACGTCATCGAAAAAAATCTCGTCGTTAAAATGGAATTGAGCAGGACCCGTCGCCAAATTAGCAGACAACCGATGGACAAAATGTATTTTAGAGTGGAGACCAAGGCAAGAAGCAATACGGAGCAAAGGACGTCCATTAACTAGATAGACTGACGACCTGAAGCGTGTTAGCAATAACTGGATGCAAGCCGCACAAGACAGAGATAGATGGAAAGAGCCGAGGGAGACCAATGTCCAGCAGTGGACCCATACAGGGTGATGATGATAAAGATTTGAGGAAGTGATATCATTTGGTTTGTTAGATTGGCAATAAAGACCGGTTTTTATATTTATCCTATGAAATATACTCACCAATAGATGGACGTACTATCATAGTAGGAATTTTTTTATTACACATATCGTTTATTACTTGTTCACCCAACTGTTTGGCGTACGTATATGTGTTGGGCATTGGACTTATGTATTTTTCTGATAGAACTTTTAAAATTTGCTCATCGCATTCTTCAGCTAATCTAATAGCTTCTTCCCAGTTACCATGAGAAGGATACAGTTTCTCTTCAATTAGAAATCGGTCGCAGTTACAGTACGTTGTTGATATATGGACCAGCACTGAGATATTTTTTAATTCAAGCGCCAACTTTGCGACTTCTCTTGTTCCTCTCACGTTTAAAAGAATTGCGTCTTTTAGAAAGTCATCAAAACGTACTGATGCGGCTGAGTGGTATATAATATTTACGTTGTCTATCAACAGTTTTCGATCCGATTCGCTCAGTCCTAAAAAACATTAATAAACTTAATTTGCGCATTGCTAAAATAAAGTTCAGAATATTATTAATATACTGAATAAAATTAAAACCAGGCTGTAATAACCCTAAAAAATGGTAAATCCGCTGGACCTGAGGGAATCTATGCTGAAATGCTTAAGAATGGAACTACTAACTATTTGAAAACTTAACATATGTGAATTAATTACTATTAAACTGGGAATAAGCCACAATTAAAGATAAAAATTACGTTTATTGACGTTTTCAATTTCCACTTCGGAAATCGTTTTCAAAATACAAACAGTAAATTAAACAAATTTTGTTTTTTGTTACATAGTGAAAAATTCTTCTAATAATTTAATTTTATCTGACTCATTTATATTGACAATTCAGACATACATTATGCATTTTAAAGTAGATGACTTTAAAATGATATTGCCAATATTGTTGAGTTGCGCTCCTGGGACGACTTTACTTATAAGATAGTTCATTGGATTACATGAAATCAACTTTAACTTGAGAATATCCGTCAGAAAAAAATCATAGCATGTAATTCGTCTTTAAAAAGACAAACACATGACAAGATGACAGTAAAATTCTCCTGTTAGTGATTCCATAGTAAATTATGAGGGAAAAACCAGGAAAAAAACCTCATAATACTATCCCGACATTGTAAGTATTTGTTCGTGAATTTAGTTTACCTTCAACAAACATCAAAATTCTGATTTTATATGTTACGTTATTTAAAAAACATAAGTGATGTATCCTCTATATGTTACTGACTTACTAATACTGGTATTTTCTTATTAATAACTTCCTCTTTCAATATTGGTAACGAGATCCTACTACATTCTGCCGAGGAATTTGCGACACAATTGGCCTCATTTAGCATAATTAGAGCTGCTTCTTTGATTTTTCTTTTTTTACCATCCGTTTCTTTTAGGACTACATTTGAATTATTCCATTGAACCCTATGTTCATTATCCCATGCGTGTTTACAGATTTGAGATCTATCAAATTCTCTATTTTTAATATAAGATTGATGTTCACTTATTCTAATATTTAATGGCCTTGATGATTCACCTAAATAAAACTGAATAGGGTTCAATGGAATAATTCAAATGTAGTCCTAAAAGAAACGGATGGTAAAAAAAGAAAAATCAAAGAAGCGGCTCTAATTATGCTAAATGAGGCCAATTGTGTCGCAAATTCCTCGGCAGAATGTAGTAGGATCTGGTTACCAATATTGAAAGAGGAAGTTATGAATAAGAAAATACCAGTATTAGTAAGTCAGTAACATGTAGAGGATACGTCACTTATGTTTTTTAAATAACGTAACGTATAAAATCTGAATTTTGATGTTTGTTAAAGGTAAACTAAATTCACGAACAAATACTCACAATGTCGGGATAGTATTATGAGGTTTTTTTTCCTGGTTTTTCCCTCATAATTTACTATGGAATCACTAACAGGAGAATTTTACTGTCATCTTGTCATGTGTTTGTCTTTTTAAAGACGAATTACATGCTATGATTTTTTTCTGACGGATATTCTCAAGTTAAAGTTGATTTCATGTAATCGAATGAACTATCTTATAAGTAAAGTCGTCCCAGGAGCGCAACTCAACAATATTGGCAATATCATTTTAAAGTCATCTACTTTAAAATGCATAATGTATGTCTGAATTGTCAATATAAATGAGTCAGATAAAATTAAATTATTAGAAGAATTTTTCACTATGTAACAAAAAACAAAATTTGTTTAATTTACTGTTTGTATTTTGAGAACGATTTCGGAAGTGGAAATTGAAACGTCAATAAACGTATTTTTTTCTTTAATTGTGGCTTATTCCCAGTTTAGTAGTAATTAATTTACAATGCCACAAGAAAATAGCTTCAGAACAATATTAACTTATGTGATCAATCAGTGTCTAGATGGACACCCAGTACCAGAACAATGGAGAACAGCATACATGTCCTCAATACAAAAAAAGGGGGACAAAAGGAATTGTAATAATTATAGAGGCATATCGGTAACCAGCACCCTGAGCAGACTGTATGAACGAATTTTGAAAAATAGGATCGAGGAAGAATATAAGCACAATGAAGAGGAAAAACAAAGTGGGTTGCGTGCTGGAAGATCGTGCACCGATAACGTATTTTGTCTTAAACAAATAATAGAAAAAAGATCGGCTAAAAAATCTAGAAACTCATATTACTTTTGTAGACCTTCAAAAAGCATATGAAAACATCCCCTTAACAAAATTGTGGACAACGTTGAAAAGATCTAACATCAACCACACATTGATAAATGCTGTACAAGAACTATATAGAGATCCAAAGGTACAGATAAAAACAGGAAAATATCTAACGGAAGAATTCCTGGTTACAAAAGGCTTGCGACAGGGATGCTGTATCTCACCAACCTTATTCAAGATATATGTTGCAGCAGCATTGGAAAGATGGGAAAAGAAAAGGTGCATATATAGGTGCAGAATATAACGAACTGGGGAATAAATGTCAATACAACAAAAACCAAATATCTTTGTATTGGAAACGAGTCAGATAATATAGACCTCGAAAACGGACAACATATTTCCTGCTGTCAGAGCTATGACTACTTAGGTATTGCCTTTGACAATACAGGAACTGATACACGGGAAATAGAAAAACGAATCACACAAGCAAAAAAAGTCTTAGGATCTCTCAATGGTATACTGTGGACTAAAGAGATAACGAAAGGAAGAAAATTTAATATATATGAGACTATGACTAAAACTACTCTTCTTTATGGCGCTGAAACATGGAAAATTAGTGAAAAGAACAAAAAGCGAATAGAAGCAGTAGAGATGGATGCAATGAGAAGATCTTTAGGTATTTCCAGTCGAGACCGAATCAGAAATGATGTAATAAAACAACGTATGAGAATAGAAGGAAATATAACTCAAGATATAGAGAAAAAACAATTAAGGTGGTATGGGCATGTTTAACGGATGCCAGCAACAAGACTCCCCCAAAAAAGTATTAGAATGGCAACCGATAGGTCGACAAAAAAGAGGAAGACCCAGATTAGAATGGCAACACGGCGTAAACAAGTCCATGAGCGAAAGAAATTTAACAACAAACGACTGCGAAGATAGGAAGAGATGGTGTTTAGGTATCGGACAACGTCGAAAGACGTTCTAAAACCAATGTATATATATATATATATATATATATATATATATATATATATATATACAAACAACACAATTTATTAGGGTTGCAGTCAGAATATTGGCCGAGATGTTAAAAAAAAACACTCTTTTGACTTTTTGTCGAGCTTTCGGAATGGTTTTATTCCTTTTTCAAGACACTGTAAAAGACAATTATGTAAATATTTAAAAAATATCACAATTCTTCAGTGTAACTTACTAGTCGTTGAGATTATTTTTGTAAGCATTGAACACTCAACATTTATACCACACATTAAAATATACAATTATGGACATAATACATCATAAAATTTTTAAAGTCTGTTGTAAAAATAGTAAAACTTGATTGATGGCATGTTTTAACTGGTGTATATTAACTAATACAGAGAATGGAAAGAAAAAACAGTGTAATTAATATGTAATTAGGTGTAAATTGATGTTATCTTTCTTTACAAGAAATACTAGAAGCCCTTCTTAGGTGTCTATACTTTTTTAACCTGTCTTAATGGTATGCAACATATTATACAGAGGTGTAATTTTTGTACAGGTAAATATTTATTTTATTTTTGGTGTTTTTCTAGTAAATAACAATAAATGTTACTTAATTTGTCTATATCGGACTTTTTATTGATGCAAGATGTGCTAGATTTTATGAAACACATTTTCAAAAAAACACGTTTTAAATGGTTCTTTTCTTTTGCCAAAATACAAGAATCATCAAACTTGAACTCATGTTTCAGAGTTAGTGCATGTTCTGTCAATGCACATGCATTACAAAAATAATCTCAACGACTAGTAAGTTACACTGAAGAATTGTGATATTTTTTAAATATTTACATAATTGTCTTTTACAGTGTCTTGAAAAAGGAATAAAACCATTCCGAAAGCTCGACAAAAAGTAAAAAGAGTGTTTTTTTTAACATCCCGGCCAATATTCTGACTGCAACCTTTATATCGACAGTCAATAATCTCCAGTATTTCTTATATATATATATATATATATATATATATATATATATATATATATATATATATATATAATAAAAGTGGCCACACTATAAATTTCCGAAAATCAAAATTCATTGGAAGTTTTATGCACTGTTTCATATTGTATACTCAATATCTTTCATTTTTAAAATAAAAAATGGCCAATACTGCCGAACTGACAAGAGCAGGACAACTGGTCCTCTAGGTTGAGGGTTGGCAGTGGGTTAACACACCCCTCCTGTAAAAATTCTTCTGTTACGGAAACTTCAAAACAATCAGCCGGACGAATTTTTTGTCGACGACTTGGCAAACGAAATAAGGGTAATGATATTGGTTTATTTACTTGGAATGTGCGTACGTTTTATAGTGCAGGTAAACTAAGAAGTCTGTCCAATACACTTAATGAATATTCAGCAGACATTATAGCACTTCAAGAAATCAGGTGGACAGGTAGTGCTAGCCTAGAAAAAAAAAAGACTGCGCTCTCTAGTACAGCAGAGTTAAAAATAATCATATTTTTGGCGTGGGATTTATACTGAATAAACGACTCAAATCAGAAGTCAGAGTTTTCGATCCAATATGTCCAAGGATATGTTGAATTCGAATAAAAGGTAGGTTATGAATGTGTTGCTTATGTGAGTCCATTTTAAAAAGGTAAAAAAGAAATAATTAGACTTACTCACAATCAGTTTAATTTTACTACTTCAGACGACCACTATATACTACCTTTACTACCTCAGAAAGCGAAGCCGGTCGTCTGAGGTAGTAAAATTAAACTGATTGTGAGTAAGTCTAATTATTTCTTTTTTACCTTTTTAAAGGTAGGTTCT